AATGTCTCAATAAAAGGAAGATATAACCAGACTTGGTTCAAAAGAAAAAGGCCTAACTATATGCTGCCTCCTAAGAAACTTTATAAAACAACAAATATATCAAAGGGGAACTGATATACCATGCTGTCACTAATTGAAATAAAGTGAAAATGGCCATATCAATACCAGACAAAGTAGTTTTTGAGGAAAAAAATTTTACCAGAGCTAAAAGTTACTTCATAATGATAAAAGGGCCAATTTGTAAATAGCCCATCTGTGCAGCTAACAAAATACATGACAGGGCCAGGGATTTAGCTCAATGATTCTGCCACTAAAAAAAAATAATAATAATAATAATAATAATAATATTAATACAAAACAAAAAATAGACAAATTCACAATTATGGTTATAGATGTGAGAGCTCTCTTTCAAGAACTGATAGAAAGAGACCAAAAATTAGTAAGTTATAGAAAATTTGAAAAACATTATGAATCAACTTGATCTGACTGAAAATCATGCAATGTTCCATACAAAAGCAGGATAATATATATTCCTTTCAAGTGCATATGGAAGATTCCAAGAGAAAACACATTCTTGCTTATAAACCATATCTCAATAAATTTTTTAAAAATTAATCATAAAAGAATTTTGTCTCACTATAATGCAATTATGAAATGAATGGCAAAAAGATATCTGGAAATTTTCCCAAATTTGGAAACTAACAGACATCTCAATAATCCAAAAATAAAAGAAGAAATAAAAAAGGGGGAAATTATTTCTAACTAGATAAAAATGAATACATAATATTTCAAAATTTGTGGTATATGGGAAATTTTTATACTATTAATATCTACATAAGAAAAGAAAGGTCTAAAATCAGTGACTTTAGTTACCACTCTATACTAGAAACAGGTCAAACAAAACCCAAAATTAAAAAAAGAAAATATAATAAGGAATATAGTGGCTATCACCAAAATAGCAAATAAACAGAGAAAAACCAACGAAACCAAAAACTGCCCTTCACAGTGAATAGAATTAATAACTCAATAGCCAGAGTGTGTTTTGTGTGTGTGTGTGTGACAGAGAGAGAGAGAGAGAGAGAGAGAATAATAATATTTCTAGTATTTAAAATGAGAAAGAAAACTTTACTATAAATTGTATAGATATGAAAAGGATAATAAGGAAATTTTGAAAAAGTTTTATTTAAGAACGTCAGAAAATATACAACAAGTAGACACAAAGCTCAGAGGGAAGGGAGGGGCAACCAAAGTAAAAAAATATCAAGCTGCAGCATGTATATGTACCAATATCCATGATGAAGATATTTACTATGTATCAAAACACATACTAATAAAAAATTTTTAAGAGAATATAGATAACCTGAAAAGCCCTACTGAAGAATTCAATTAAAGAAACTTAATTCATATTTTAAAACATTTTCCATAAAGAAAAACTTAGGCCTAGATGGCATCACTGATGAATTCTGCATTTAAATAAAAGATAATAAACTAATTTTCCCAAAATATTAACAGGAAGTAAAACCTCCTGATTAATGTAATGCCAGGATTATTATAATACCAAAAACCAAAGAACACTGGTCATAGAACATAGACACAAAAAATTTGAATGTTATCAAACAAATTCAGTAAGATAATATAATTAAGATCAAAAGAGGGGCCGGGGATTAAGCTCAGCGGTGCCGCCGCCTGCCTTGCAAGCACAAGGACCCGAGTTTGATCCCCGGTACCAAAAAAAAAACAAGATCAGAAGATAATATAATTAAGCTGGATTATTTTAGAATAAGTTTAGTTTAATTTATTAAGAATAGATTTATAACAGTGACCCAAGATTAGTTTAATGTTCAAAAGTTAATATTCACCATATAACAGACTAAAGAAAAATCTTAAATGTTAATAAGTGCAGAAAAAACATTCCACAAAATCTAAAATATATTCCCAATAAAAAGAATTTCATAAAACTAGGAATATAAAGAAACGTAAACAGCTAGTTTAATAGCTACCAGCATACTTTATAAAAACAGCTGAACTCAGTCCCTTTATGATCAGGGTCAAGGAAAGAAATGTGCTCTCAACACTTCAGCATTCACAGGCTCTGGCCAGTGCAATTAGGCAGGGCCAGAGACAAAAGGTATCCAGACTGGAAAGGAAAAATTAAAATTATGTATTCAGACACCTCTGTGGAATTCTTTTTAAAAAAGAAAAGCTCCTATTACAATTAATATGTATGTGTTTTGCAAGGTTCCAGGATAGAAAAATCAGCATACAAACTAGATTTCTAAATACTGTAGGAACAAATAAAAGTTAAAATTAAATGAGAAAAGTACCATCTACAATAGTAACAAAAATATTCAATATTAGGTATAAATAAATCTGACTAAATATATGCAAGATATGCACACCAAAAGCTATGAAATTACTGCTTAGAGAAAAAATTTGTGTGTATTTTTTGATAGAAGGTCTCACTGTGTAGCTCAGGCTGGCCCCGAACTTGGAGCAATCTTTCTGCCTCAGCCTCCCAAGTGCTAAGATTATAGGCGTGCATCACCACACACATCAGAAAAATTCTTTTCTTTTTCTCATTGAGTTTATTGGGACTTTTTAGGCATACAGTACAGTTACATTTATCATTGGGATCTTGTACCTTTACATGACAGGACTTGGTTCTCATTTTTTCCCCATACCAGAGCCAGACACAGCATGTTAATGCATAGAAAAGCCCAGCACTGAAATGATAGTATGTCAATGTTCATCCCAATTTAATCTATAAATTCAACACAATACTAATCAAATTTCCAGCAAAACTTTCTGTAGAAATTGGCAAACATTCTAACATTCATATAAAAATATAAATCATTCAGAATAGACAACACAATTTGAAACAGAAGAACAAAGTTAAAGAACTTACACTGCCTGACTTTTTTATTTTATTTTATTTGGTACCGGGGATCGAACTCAGGACCTTGCACTTGTGAGGCAGGCGGTGGAACCACTAAACTAAATCCCTGGCCCCATACTGTCTGACTTTAATACTTACTATGAAGCTATAGTAAACATGTGGGGTTGTACAGAGGTAAGAAAGTACATTTAATAGAACATAGAGAGTGTCCAGAAATAAACTCATCGATGTGGTATATAGTCACTATTTCAACAAAATGAAATAGCCAATCAACAAAGAAGTTGTCATTACAACAAAGTGTGCTGGAATACTACATATCAATGTGAGGAAAAAATACATTAAATTTATATCTCATACCACTTCAAAAATTAACTCAAAATACACAGTAGAACTAGAGGTAAAAACCGAACTAAAACTTCCAAGAAGAAAGCCTTATAAAAATTATTTTGACCTTAGGATAGGCAAAGATTTTTAAAAAGAAAAATCTAAAAATTGAACTTTATCAAAATTATTATTTTTCATCTTTCTAACTGGTAGGAAATTCTGCAATTCATATCGGTGCTAAAGAAATTTAATTTAGAATGAAGACTGCCCAACATGTCATGAATACAAAAAAAATTATAAAATAGGGAAAAGACATGTTTAGACACATCACCAAAGAAGATGCATGAATAGCAAATAAGCACATGAAAAGATGTGCAACATCATTAGTTATCAGGAAAATGAAAATGAAAATCAGTGTGACACCACTGCACACTTACTGGAATGTCTAAAATTAAAAAGAATGATCATGCCATCTGATAGTGAGGGTGTAAAGCAACCTGAATCTCATAGCCTGGTTGTAGGAAAGTAAAATGGTGCAGCAACTTTAGAAAATAGTTTGGCAGTTTATACGATATTCTAAGTATGCAACCCCCACCACATGACTCAGCCATTCCATTCCTAAGTAGTGTTTGAGTTTGTCTGTGGGATATACCTGGCCATAAAAGGAGAAAAGCCACTGTGATGAAGGATGAGGAAGAGAGAAGCTTAGACTCCTGTGGAAACTGAGGTAAGTAGGGTGGGACATCATGACAGGAATAGCCCTGCTGCTCTTCAAAGGAGGGGTACAGTAACCTCTTATTGGAGTCTTTTCTCGGATCTGATCTTTTAAGCAGTTCACATTAGTAAGAAAGTAGTGTCCAGCTAGGGACCAATGGTAGCCTCAGCAGTAGCACTTGAAGCTCATCAAAACCAGGGATGGGACAGTCAGTGTGCCTTTCCCTTAAATCCCACTGAAGACAGATGCAAGCTTGACTGGATGTGCGTACTGCGCCTGACATTTTGGCATAGGCCAAGTGCATTGTGACACCTCTTCAAATTTCAGATCGCTACTATTCTGCTTTGCACTTTCCGTATGTGGGATCGGATCTGTTCCACTATCACCTGGGCAGGCATTATAACTGGAATGTACATTCTCAAGCCCTGCCTACCTCAACACACTGTGCCAAAGTCCTACTATTCTGTGAGTGTCCCACAACGGCTCAGCACCTTTTCTGAGACCACTCATTTTAGGAGTCTAGTTGTGAGGAATGGAAGGCCTTGGTCCCTTCCATTCCTAGTTTTTCAGTCATGTTGGGAACTACAAATACACCATCACCTGAAAGAAGCAGGTCCCTCAAGTCTCCCTCCCCTCTCTCTCTCTTCTTCCCTTTTTTATTCTTCTAAAAAATTACCTGTATGTACTCTAGTTTAAAATCCACTATCATCAATCTTTGGTGTTATTCCTAAAGACTTTCAAAATTCAAAACAAACCATTTTGATCTCTTTTAAGAACTCATCTTGTTAATCCAGAACTTTTTTTTTAGACCCTATTTTGGAAGTCAAAGTACAAGATGGAATCTTCTTTTGGGCTCACTGCTGCCAATCTCTCAGTAGCAATAGATATCTATTATAAAGAGAACAATAAAGCAGCAAAAATCTCCCAAAATTAAATTTAAAATTTCACAATAGGAGCCTTTTATTTTATATTGTCATGTGGATTGAATAGATCCTGAGCTGAGGCTCAAACTGGACAGCCAACAGTCCCAGGACTATGAGATCACAGCCGAGGTCACAGAGAGCTGAGATAGGACAGGAGACTGCTGCAAGATGGGCTCAGTGAGGGGAAAGTCTTAGAGGATCAGGGGTCAACCAAAGGGTGATTTGGGGAGCCCAGAAGGGTAAGTTGACTTGGCTTCTGACTAGGACCGAGATGTTGGGAAGGATGGAGTGGAGAATATGGTAGGGAAACTTCCCGAGGGAAGATGTGTCTTATTTGGGTCACTGCTTCAGGATTTCAGTCACACGTGCTTTTAACAGTGTCAACTACGATGTTTCCGAACCCCTTTACAAGGCACTGGAAGGCTGCAGCTGACTAACCTCCAGCCTCTAGTCTTAACCTTAGTAGACTGTGGAGATGTTGACTGTGAGGTAGGATCTTCAATTCAGTATTCACTACTTCCTATCTTTGCCTCCGAGTCAGAGCCTCTGGTCAACACCTTCCCCAATCTTATATATATATTTTTGCTTCAGTTATATACTTATACTAAGTATATATAATTAGTAAGTACATATACTTACTATATGTACTATATATACGTAGTTTACCAGCTACTACTATATATATTTGTATATAGTATACATATACATATATATATACACATGCACACACACACACACACACACACACACATGCACACACGCACACATGCATGCACCCACACACTGACCCATACAAAACAGATGCCAAGACAGAACTACCCGTCCACTGGGGAAGTTTTTTTCTTCTCACTATGCACCTGCCCTCTCCGCTTATTTATTCCTCCCTAGGGCCTGGAGCTATTTCCATCTTCAGTTCCAGAGTCTTTGGTTTTGTGCAAGAGCAAATGGAGCAGCATCCTCACCAGGACCAAGAACAAAAGGCAGGCATGACATCCATGCAGCAGCGACAGTAAGTGGGGCTAATCATGGTCCTTAAGCAACCCTACGCTGGGTATCTTCTGTAGGAGAGCTGTGGTCACCTTTCTCCCTTCATCGTGCATTTATCTTCTGGGTGGGATACATGGGGACTTGTGCGTGTTTCCTCACTTCTCTATTTCTTCAATGGAAGGGGCAATAGCAAGTCTTTTACATTGTGACTTAGAAGACAAGCACTAATTGCAATTTTTCTAGGAGTTAGTAGACTGATGCATCCTAGGAACCCTTACTCATTTTAGGGCAACTTTCTATAAATCCTCCATGTCCTCTAAAATATGAATTAAAACCAGCCATTCAAAACCATGCCCCATTGGACTAGGATTGTAAAGAGAGCCAGAAACAATTGCTTGAAGTCCATTATGGCATCCAGCAACATTAGCCATTAAATCAGACCAAAAAAGGGGTATCACTATGAGTTTAAAGGTCAGGAAAGCTTCAGAAAGTAACTGGAACTTGGATTAAGCCTTTGAAGTATGCAGCAGATACTCTGACACAAGGGTTTTAGCAATTAGGGAAAGAGAGGGTTTAAAGTGTCTTCTAAGTTTCTTGGATGCCAACCTTATTTAAATGCTCAAAATGGACATCAAGCCTAAAAACCAATAAGAATTGAGAAGCCTAAAGTTTGGTAAACAATAAGAACTTGCTTTAAGAATATGAATTGTCTTCTAGAGAGCTGAAGGACTCTGAAGAAGAAATAGCGAGTAAATACTGAACTCACCGTTCTGTATAAAAAGGCACATAAACCACACCACAGCCCCAACTTCTTTGCTGATTAACAGATGGTTTTTGCAGTGTAAGTGGGCAAGGCTATAAAAATAACACTAAAGCCAACAATGTTTAAAGTGAACTTAGTTATGAAGGCTTTCATATAATCTTCCCCTGAAACCCTGGGGATAATGATTATTCTTTTAGAGAAAAGGAAACAGATTTATGTGAACAAAAGATTTGCCAAAAATCCTAGAACTTAGGTTGCACCTCTGTGTATTACTTTGTAAAGGGTACAGCCACATCTTTTCCACCAGGATTTACTCTTTCATTTTTAATTCTTTCTTGAAAAATCTTAAATAATTTAACATTCCTCAATATTCTCTTAACAGTGTCAAATCTGGGGTAGAAGGGATTTTTCCCTCCAAATGGGCTTCATTTTTGCTCTATTTTAATCACTTATACAAATTTGGTTATGATCAATAAATTTAAGTTTATGGCCTCCTGTGTCGGTGCTGAAGGGTTGGGGTTATAATATTAAAATCTACTATTCTTTTCCCTTGTCAACATGTAATTTCTGTGCCTTTGATAAGGTTTGGTTAGAAAAAAATGTGAAAGATCACTTAAACCAAAGCCAGTTATGGGTATTTCCTCCTATTGGTTTACTTCATCTCAGAATTATAACATCACAATACACAGTGGATAGTTGTCTATAACATTTCTACACAATTGTTTAGATTCATCTTGGCATTTCTTGACACAATGGTTCTGTGCTCTTTGTGATGTCTTATTGTTTGTGAGGTTTTTTTTTAAATCACTAAGTAGGTCTATAAATATAGATGTGTGTCGATGCCAACAAGCTGTTTTCAGATCTCTAAATTTCTGATTTCCATTGAAGTGTTTTAAACTTGTTTTTCCTTGTTGAGTAGCAAAGGACTTTTATTTTTCATTTTCTTATATACCTAAAAGTACAAACACTGCATTTCAATGGACTTTATTGGGTACTTTATGCTGAGAACTTTATCTGAACACACAATTACCTTGTTCAGTTTTGTGGTAAACTGCCACAAGCATACACTGTTGACAAGCTTTTTTTTAAATAATTTTATTGGTACATTTTAGATATATAATATAATGACATTCATCACTGGAAATTTGCACCTTTATATAACCTATCTTGGTTCTTATTTTTCCCCATTCCCCTGCCCTCCCTTCAACCCCTCCATCCCTTCCTGTTTACAAAATCTTTGTTTCCATTTTTTCATTTTCTCATATTAATTCCATTCCCTTCTTTCCTTTTCCCTACCCCACCCACTTCCCCTTTCCCTTTGCCCCTTTTCTTCTGATTTCACATTATCTATTATAACTTTTAGTTCTTGTTTACACTTTCAGTTTCTCACACCAGAGAAACTATTCAGTATTTACACATGTGTGTAAATATCTCACTTAGGACTATGACCTCAATATGCATCTATTTACCTGTAAATGTCTCTAGTTTCTTATTCTTTAATAATGAATGGGGCTGGGGATTTAGCTCAGTGGTTCCAATGCCTGCCTTGCAAGCACAAGGATCCCCCGGAAAAAAAAAAAAAAAAAAAAAAAAAAAGAATGAACAGTACTCCATTTTATAAAAAAAAAAAACACACGCACACATATTTTCTTTATCAATTCTCCCATTGATGGGCAATTGGGCTGCTTCCAAGTTTTAGTTGTCACAAACTGTGCCACTATGAATGTAGGTTCACATATATCACTGTGGTGTGATTCTTTTTTTTTTTTCTTCTGGGAAAATGCCCAGCAGGGGAATAGCTGGGCCAAACAGGACTTCTAATCCTAGTTCTTTGAGGTTTCTCCATACTGATTTCCACAGTGGTTGCACATCTACACTCCCACCAGCAGTACAGCAGTATTCCTCTTTCCCCACAGCCCCACCAACATTTGTTATTGGTTGATTTCATGATAAAAGCCATTCTTTGTGGGGTGAGGTGGAATCTCGGTGTTGTTTTCATTTCCATTTCTCTAATGACCAGTGATGCTGAACATATTTTCATCTGTTTATTTGATGTTTCAATTTCATTGTCTGAGAAATGTCTGCTTATTTCAGATGCCCATTTTTGGATTGTGTCTTTAAATTTTGAAGGTCTGATTTTTAAAGCTATTTATATATAATAGATAGTAGAACTTTGAGGAACAGCTGGTAAAAATTTTTTCCCACCTTGTGGGTTATCTCTTCACACCGTTAGTGGTTTCTTTTGTTGTGCCCAAGTTTTTTAATAAAATAGAATCCTGCTTGTTGATTCTTTGCACTAGTTCCCATGCTACTGAGGTTTTCTTCAGAGTCTTCCTATACAGATATCTTCAAGACCTAACCTATCTTCCAGCAAGTTCAGTGTTTCTGTTTTGATATTTAGGTCTTTGATCTATTTCAATTTTATTTTAGTGCATGGTGAGAGATACAGGTCTAGTTTTAATCTTTAGCAAGTTTCCGCCTGTGAGAATGTTTGGCGCCTTTGTCAAAGACAAGGTGGCTGAGTGTTTCTGTACCTTCTAATCTGTTCCACTGCTCCTTAGGTCTGTTTCTTTGCCAGTGCCATGCTGTTTTTTTTATCACAGTAGCTTTGTACTATAGTTTCAAGTTGGGGTTGTGATACCTCCCAACTTCTCTTTATTGCTTTGAATTACTTTTGCTATTCTAGGTCTCTTCTTGTTCCAAATGAATTTTTGGATTGTTTTCCAAAGGTCCATGAAGCATGCTGTTGAAATTTCAGTTGTGATTGCATTGAGACTATATAGCAGTTTTAGAAGTATAACCATTTTTACTGTGTTGATTATTCCTACCCAGGAGCAAAGGATGTCTCTCCATTTTCTGATAACATTTTCAATCTCTTCTTTTCAAAGAGCTACAGTTTTCAGAGTAGGGGTCTTTGATTTCTTTTGTTAGGTTGATTCCTATATATTTCAATTTTGTTGTTGCTGCTGTTAAGTTTATTGGTACATTTTAGGTATAAAGTACAGTTACAGTCATCATCAGGATCTTGTACCTTTACATGATGTATCTTGGTTCATATTTTTTCTCCATTCTCCAGCTCTCCCTTCACCCCTTCCACCCTTCCCTTTTTACAAAGAGGTTGTTTTCCATGTTTTATTTTTTCTCATATTTTTTCACCTAAAACATGGAAACAGCCCCATTGCCCATCAACTGGAGATTGAATGAAGAAGATGTGGTTTTATAAAATGGAGTACTACTCAGCCATAAAGAATGAGAACCTAGAGACACTTATAGCTAAGGGGATGCACATTGAGGCCATACTCTTAAGTGAAATTAGTAAGACACATGTACAAATGCCAAATAGTTTCTCTGGTGTGAAAAACTAAAAGTGTAAATAAGGATCAAAATGTATACTTGATATTGTGTAATAGGAAGAAAAGGTCTAAAAGAGTAGGGGAAGTGGGAGGGGTAGGTGAAAGGTAAAAAAGTATTTCAATTTTTTGGATGTTATTGTGAAAAGAATTGTTTACCCCATTTCTCTCTCACTGAGTCTGTTCTCCCTCTATAGAAAGCTACTGACTTTTTGTGTGTTGGCCTTGTATCCAGCTACTTTACTGAATTTGATTATTAAGTCTAGAAGACATTTGGTGGAGTTCTTGGGATCTTCTACATAGAGTATCATGCCATCCGCAAATAATAACACTTTGACTTCTTCATTTCCCATCTTTATTCCTTTTATTTCTTTCTCTTCAAATAGCTATGGCTAATGTTTCTCAAACTTTATTGAACAGGAGTGGTGATAGTGGATATCCTTCTCTTGTTCCTGATTTTAGTGTGAAGACTTTCAGTTTTTGACCATTTACCGTGATATTGGCTGTTGGCTTTTCATAGATGGCTTTTATCAGATTGAGGTAGAGAACATCTATTCCAATATTTTGGAGGTTTTTGTCTTTGGATCTATTAATATAGTATATTGCATTTATTGATTTGCAAATGTTGAACCGTCCCTGTATCTCTAGGATGAATCCCACTTGGTCACAGTGTATAATCTTCTTGATGATCTTCTGCATTCTATTTGCCAGTATCTTATTAAGGATTTTTGCATCTATGTTCATTAGTGAGCTCGGCCTATAGTTCTCTTTTTTGGTTGGGTCTTTCTCTGCTGTGGGGATCAAGGTGATGCTTGCTTCCAGGAATGAATTTGGGAGTATTGCTTCCCTTTCCATGTCATTGAAGAGTTTACACAATAGTGGCAGTAGTTCCTCTCTAAATGTCTTGTA